AATGGCCGATAGTATCATTTGGCTTGTTTTCTAAAAGGACAACACACATACACACTGACATAGAAGCTTCATATAATGTGACATGAGCACTCATTATCTAACTTGGCACTTTTGTAGCCTCACCTTTGGCACCTGTTTGAGTTCAAATTGTGCTTTGAGTGTAGGCGCGTAGCTCGAGGAGCAGAGTAGAACTGATTGTATTACAGAGAGAGAAAAAGTTCTTCTTCGCAGTGTCTTCATTCAAACAAAAAAAAAAAAACAATATTTTACGGAACGAATTTTAGTTATTTTTGTAAACAGGTTTTCAATGAAATAAAAGAACTCCTAGTACTATGTATGTATGTGCCCCTATTATATACCGCGCCACAAAATGATATGGTCTAATACCCTGTTTCCACCAAATGCCTAACTGCTGTTAAGAGCTCAGGTATGTTCCATGAATTTTAGCATGGGCTGAATCGGCAATGTTTATTTCTTAATTTTTGCATTTTTCCTTTCGTTTGACTGTACTTTTTCAATCGACATATATCGCAGTTAAGGCTTGGTGGAAATTAGTTATAACAAAAGCATGTAGATCCACGTTTCTAACTTTGTACGAGAATTAGAAAAATTTAACAAAGTTGCACGACTACAATTTTCTAGTTTGAAATAATGAATTATCTTTCATACATGTTCGACGTAGGAAAGTAATAATGGCGTCGGCAAAAAAATTATCAAAAATCAACGTGAATTTTTATCCTCTGAAACCTAGAATCCAATAGGCTACAGAACTGCGTATTATGAATAAAAAATTTCTTTTTTTGTTGTGAAAATTTGTTGAAATTTTCTACAAACTTTAAAAGACATTAAACAAAAAAAAAAAAAAAATGTCGAAACTGATCAAACTGTCATGCCCCTATTTTTCACATGACTGTAATTACATCGTTTTGTATCAACGACCGACAAATTTATACTACTTTTGTGAACTAAGCGAAAAAAGTATTTTTAGGCACAAAAGCAGTATTTTGGGAAAAAACAGGAGTATCCATTTTTGGCATTTGGCGTTATTCATAAACGACGAATGGACGAAGTATACCCATGTCCTCGGCGTTCGTATAAAAACCATTTAGTGCAAAGAAAGCTCTAAAAGGATACCAAGGTAAATTAAACTAACAAACTAGCGGAAATTTTCGGTGTTTATTCTGAAATCATCTCAAGGAGAAATCCGCACTTACATCTGAAAGTCTACTTATTCAAATAAGACTGGTTTACAGCAAAAATGCGCAATGGTTGCCACTATCCAATTCCTATGCAGAATTTCCCGTTGATTTCGAAAATCGAGTTAATTTTTGTAATTGATAATCAACAATTGTTGAGTTTTTTTTTTGATGCAAAAAAAATTCTAATTTTAACAAGAGGAAAAAACAAAGATTTTTTTACTAATGAAGAACATCGATGAATAAATAAGAACGGAATGAGTGGTCAAATGAAAATGCGTAAGGATTTTTTGTATGAAATATGAACAGAAAAGAGTGTTACACATGTGTACATGGCGTATGAGTAACATTCTTGGAACCATGTTTTTTTTTTGTTTAGCTGAAAAACGGTAAATTGAAAATACCTCGAAAACTTATCCATAGAAAAAAAAAATTCACTCGATTTTCGAAATCAGCAGGCAATTCTACATAGGAATTGGATAGCGTCATCCAAGGACAAAAAAAACACACTCACAAATTTGTGATCCCGTGTAGTTAAAGACAACCTATTTTTAGACAATTCTTTAAGTGAGCTTGCAGTACAAAATTATCCTCGGACTTGCAACATTATAAATCGAAGTGAATCCTCCAAATTAAGGCGTGTGGGTACGCACGAAGAGTTCTTCTCTTACAAAATTAATGTTTAAAATTGCAATATAAAATAAATAAATAGACACTTTGTATAATTTGAGTTTAAGCTTTTTCATTTAGCTTGAATATTTCGAACAATAAAGCCCCAAAGCTACATATTTCTGTTATTTTTTTGAATTTCATAGCCCGTAAGTATATTTTTAGGCCTAGACAATCAACATGAGGTTATTTTTTTTTAGAGAATCTAGTGCTCTACAAGAATATGCTTGTCATCGTTTAATAGTTTTAATAATTTTAATGAAATTTTTTTTTTTACATGGTATTTAAATTCATGCAAAATTTCAAATGAGCACCGACACCTTTTAATATTGGAATACAATATTTTCCAAATGGGAGAATTTTTTTCTCTGTAAATAGGTACTTTTAAAGCCATAATTTCTTTAGGTTGGTTAACTTGGATCACTTTAATGTACATACATTTGTATGTATGTATGTATATCAATTTACGTACATAAAACAACTTTAACATTTTTGTTTTATTCTAGTTAGTCTTTAATATTGCAGCCAAGTTTTTTTTTTAATTCTTTGTTTTGACAAATTAAGTGACAAGCAAGCAGGTAACTGCACAACAAAAATAATAACCGAAAAAAAAACAAAACACACTTGCTGTTAAAAAGTTTCATGGACAACAAACTCATATTTATTAGGTGGTTGCTGACATAGGCATTTATGTATGTATATGTATGTATGTATGTGGCTATTATATGCATGCACGTTTATCTGTATGCATGAGTGTATGTTCCCTGTAGGATCACGGAATAGACTTAGAGCACACCACAAACTAGACTGCAGGTGATTGTAAGCAGATACTCCAAGACTTTGGTCCAAGCTCATTTAAAATTCTATTTACATTTAACATTGAATGTCCTAGGCTCGGACCAATTGTGCGCTTCTGCATTACATTGTAACCAATTTTAGATACAAAAAAAATAAAAAAAAATAACGGATACTCTCTCTGCATGCCAACATCGCACATGAAAATCTGTTGACTAAGTGCCTACATATCAGCATGTCGTTAATTGTACCCGTTGTCCGCTATTGCATGACATTGCAACCAGTGCATTACAATCGGACCACTTTTAGTAAAACTCACCTGTTGTACATTACATTGCTTTATATTTTTGGACAATCTGTGGTCTAGATACCAAAGTACTATACCTACGACTATATTTTTGGACTATATAATTGGACCAATCTTTCCTTCAGGGTTTACACAGCCTAGTTATTTAGAAACTCTTCGCTGTTGATGTGAAACGCAAGTTCTCGCGTTATCCAACAGTGTATAATTTCAAGCGTTAATTAATAGTTAAAATGCATATTTCCATAGCATAACGCCATACATTTCAGTTAAAAAAAAAAATTGCTAACGTTTCATGTTGAAATGGATAAATTTGTGTGTTTATATGCTATGCAGGCATAACAAGGAAGTACAAGCCTCTCCGGACTTTTGCTCTTTTCTAATACAAATGCAGTCTTTATTTTATTTTTCGCAAATTCACCTGGTAACATTTGAGAAACAATATTCTGTGGAATATGGATTGCCGCATAGAGGTTGACAATGTGACATGTTTAGCTTTCAAAATTTGGAGAGAAAGACAATATGTTGCCATATAAACTAATGTTAACGTAGTTGTAGATTTCTCCCTCCTGAAGTTAACAGAATTAGTATTTCGGATTTCCGTGGAGCATTAAATGACAAAAATGTTAATGACAAAGGTAGGCATTGAATAATATTACATAAATACTAAAATCCGAATCATTAAAATTTGTTACCTCTGCCCTTCACATGAAATGCTCCAAGTGTTTGGTTCAGTAGGAAACTCTAAGCTCCCTAAGCAAAATATAATCCTTATGATGCCTAATAAGCACCACCCACAAACATAATGAAATATGCCATCATCACTTATTTAATCCAATTAAAAAAAAAAAAAAAAAATGGTTGTATGCTAGCGAAATGCGCAAAACGAGTTTTAATAGATATGTAAAAAAAAAACTAGTAATAAATGCAATTTCAACTAAATAAGCACTCGTGGAGGTGGAGAATTGAAAAGCGCACAAAATCTCAACTCAGATTGAGTCCAATCAGTTCAGTCTATTCAAGTGGAATTCGTAAAGTGAAGTGCTTAAATGGTCTATTCAAATCGAAGGCATTGAAGCTATTAACGTAGATGACTAAACATTCAGAGCGGAATGGCTTCGAACACCAATTGAAATCTAATTTCGTTTTAGTTGCTGTCGAAAAAATGTTAGCTTCTCATTCCTCGCTTCCATGCACAAATACTAAGAAGAAGGGCAAAACGCCAAAAAAATAAAATTCAAATAAAGCGCTTCGCGTTCGCGACGGAAAGTTCGATTTATTGAAGGAGAATTGGCAAGCTGTTTGTTGAATTAAGGCAAAAGAGGGTTGAAGGATGGAATTGACTGAAAATTGAATGCAAAAAAGCCCCTAAAAAACACTACGAGCCCTAACTGCCAAAAAAACGAAAGCGATTTTTTTTTAATTATTTTTTTTTTTGATGCGGAAATGCAACTAGATGCTCTGGGAACATTTTTGCATCAAAAATAAAATTTTGAAAAAAATGTCACTTACGTCTTCAACAAGCAAAAGGGGAAAAATGTCGAAATATATACTATTGCATGTATGTATATTAGGATGTAACACTCTCGAAATAGAAAAAAGTAGTTATTGGTTTTCCATCGGATTTAGAAAAGTCTATTACATTTTGAGACTTCCGTCAAAATATTTCAAAAATATTTTTTCCAAAAAATCTTCTTTAGAGGATAGGTGAGTTTAAGCTTAGAAAGTTTGCGTAAAAATATTTAAAAATTGTATCAACGAAATGATAATGATGAAAATAATGAGATTTTTGGAGGTATTTTCAAATCAGTGCAGCTTACTTGAATCTTAATATTTTACCGAAATATTTTGGCCAAAGTTTTAAAATATAATAAATTTTATAATTTCGTTGAAAATCCGCATTTTTAGCTTTGTAGGTACTCTAACGTATATATAGAAAAGGGAATTTTATTAATATTAAAAGAAAAGCATTTTGCACTTATTTTCCATGATACAAACATATGTATGTATGTATTCTTATATGTATGTATGTTTACCTGTAAAATTTACTGATATATTTGAAAATCCGATTCCTCTGCTCTCCGCTTAACAAGGAAAGATACTTATAATTTTTTTTTTGTTTTCAATGAGGTTATATAAATTAAGTTTGATTCACATTTTTCGCTGTCAAATTTACCAACTGCAAAATGCAGGAAAATCGCTACAAGAAACGCAAAACAAAAGAAGAAAATACGAAGCAAATAATGAAAAACTATTAAAATTTCATGGACTAAAAATGGCCAACTAACATTCAAACCAGACGTTATGACCCGGAATTTGGATAACAGAAAAAAAAAGAATTGAAAAAATAAATAAATACTAGCACACATAGACACATCATGATAGAATATTTTACGCAATATAAAGAATTATTTGAATAAATGCAATATAGTTAACCCGAGGATTCGCTGCGGTTTATGACCAGCATCTTATCAGTAAGAAAGGAAGGTGAAATCACAGCTCGCAGAAACATAATTGACACGATGATGAACGTCAAGCAGCAGGGCCCGACGAGAGTGTGGGCGGGGGGCATCGGGGACTTTTACCTCCGGGCGCGGAGTTCTCAAGGGGGCCCCGTGCTCAGACTCCAGAGTATATTTCATAAGATGTTGATAAATCGCAAATCACAAATCAAGTGAAATATTATTTAATTTCGTGCAATTTTAAGTTCAGTTGAACTCTTTGAAATTATCCACTTTTTTAAGGCTTCCTTTCTAGGGGCACAAAACTGTGTGAAATGTTATGAATTTTTGAAAAAATAATAGAGTTGGCATGCCTGGTGAGCAGACAGCATTCGAAAACTGTGCAGGCAGTTATTTGCGAGCTCTGATAAATATACATCAGGCATGGCCAGCATTGAACTGACTGATATACATATTTATGTACATACATATGTACGATTGATCTGCTTTCGTCCTCGCCGTCATCCAACCAATCAATGGTATCGTCCTACATGGCCCACGAGAGGGACAGTCAACCGCCAGAGCCAAGCGATATCCTCGTGCGAAACCATAGACAAATTATTTTGATTGGCTGCGATGCGGACGCCAGGCATCCAGTTTGGGGCAACGGCAACACCACGGGGAACGAACGAGGTTACTATACTTTATATTAAACACCAGCCTAAGTATATGCGCGAAGGGCAAAAGACCTACCTTTATTTTTCCGAGTACGGACCGGCTCTCTGGATGGGAGGAAGTGTTGGACGTAACGTTGTTGTCGGAAAACGACATCGTTTCCGTAGGGAACTGGAGAGTATCGGACAGGCCGCCAATGGTTGACCACTGTATGATCCTCTTTGACCTTTGCGGTATATCCTATCTTCCCTCGGCATACAGGAACCCACGAAGAACCAATTGGGATAGGTATTATAGAATATTAAGTAATCACCTAATTAAAAGTAATCCAGATAAAAAGATTACATCGCTCGAGGACCTGGACAATAGAATAGATGATTTAGAGGGAGTTATGAGGAAATCCTTTGACAGGGCAACCCCAATAAGTTATAGCGCGTAAGAAATCGCCGCCGTGGTGGAATGGCGAACTCAAAGCTCTGAGGGACAACATTAGACAACTCTTTGATTAAAGCTTTAAGACAAAAAAAAAGTGCGCTAAAGTCATACAAAAAGGAACTAAGGAAAGCTAAGGCAAAATCCTGGCAATCCTACTGTTCGGCCATAGAAAGCTCCAAGGACTCAGCTAGGCTCAGCAAAGTCCAGTCCAAGGAGCACACCAACTTATCTCTACTAGTAAACCATTGTAGACTCCCTATAGAAACTAGGGGTTGATGACGGTGCCTGCAGATGGATACGATCGATGCTATACAATAGAATAATTCACGCTACAAATGGGACTGCGTCGCTGACCCATCATGTGAGTAGAGGCACCCCACAGGGAGGCGTTCTCTCACCATTGCTGTGGGTAACAGCGTTGAACGGTATACTGAAAGGCCTCAACAAAGGGGTCGCCAAAGTAGCGGGCACTTGCGCTGATAGCGAAAACAGCCATTTCAAAAATCGTAACGGACAAAAAAGCAAAGCGAGTGGGTCTAAAGGTCACTCTGGCTCGTGTAAAGAAATTCGCTTATTTGGAAACCGATAATAATGAAATGCTACTTTGAACTGAGCAGTCAGTTGAAAAGTGGAGTTCTCTCTCGTCGTACAGAGATCCCACTCTATAAGTCGCTGGTGCGCAGAAGCATGCATAATGAAAACATCTTGAATTTTTCAAAGAGTAAAAATTCCGTGGAAGACTTACGCGCGCTTGAGTGATGTGACTTAGAATATAACGAAAATGAGGCAATAATGAGCTGAATGAACTTTGCAACGATGTAGACATAGCGCAGCAAAAGCGAACCCGCTGCCCTGGCCATCCGCTGATAGTGACATAGAAAGGGCAACACCCTCTGCGAATGAAAGACTAGGTGTAGGAGAACTTGGCGAAGCACATCGAATTTCTAACTGGCGTCAGTTGGTGCAGAAGAGAAACAAATGTTCCAAAAAGCAACAAAGAACACCGAAAAAATTCAGAAAATAATTACAGCGCCTAAAAAGTAAAACAAGCAGAGAACTGAAAGGTTCTTAAAAGTATTGACCGATGCCGGAGGAATAAGGAAAGAAAAAGGCTGGGTAAGTCTGGAAAATCCCGAAAACCCTAAAAATATATTTATTATTGCTTTAAATAGTTCGTATTTCTTTTTCAAAATCGAATGGTATCTTCGAAAATGAGGAACGAAAATTTTTTCCATTGTGTCTAAAAATAACTTTAATTACTAAGTTTACATAATATAACCTAAATTGGGTCGCTCAATCCAAAGGTCAGTTTTCCTTCATCACTTCATGATTTTATCCTAACCTAAAAAAACATGGCGGAATCTATGTGAGATTTTTGAGGTTAGGAACAAATCCTGATGTGACAGTGCAAAAGGAACTTCACTGTCGTGCTCAGCGCTTCAAAATACATAACGAAAAGTTCGTTTTACTCCATTACGTCAGGTCTGGGTTCGATCGTTTTTTTTTGTTGTGGAGCTGTTTAAAGAACTTGCTAAGTTTAGTCCGTTGCCCCGAAACTTGCAATTTCCCATCTAAGTCCTTATGCGGGCTTGTCGTTATCAAATATCCAAACAGTTTGGCAAAAACTTTAAGCAAGTTTTAAAAACTGTTAAGATTTTTTTATACTAAATTTGAGTTCACAAACACACCATCAGTCTTCTCTTACACATACATATATACTTATATGTAAATATGTATGTATTTATTTAGATTAATTACGTAGTTTTTTTACTCCCTGTATGCACACAAACAAAATATACTTTAATAACCGATTGTCAAAAACAGAGAGTGGTCAAATACACACACACACACCCAGACACACACAACAAACCACAAACTAACAAAACAAAAACAAGAAAAAAATTGCGTGGGGGTTTTCAAAAACACAATTTCTCTTTACACTTTTCGCTTTGAATATTGTCTTTCTTCACTGAAAATATTTTCCGTCAAAACAAAATATTCGAACTGAATACGTACGCGTACGTTAAGCAACTGAATGGCTACAGCAGCAGCGTCACTCGGCATTAGCCAACACCTGTCGACTGTCGTCATACATATGCTAACGGTATCGTTGTTATACCACGAATATGTATGAAGAAGGGAAAAAATCCTTGCCGCCGACCGGTTAAAATGTACCACGGCAACCAAACTTGGAATGAAAAAGCTTACTCAACCCAACGCAAGCTGCGCTGTCTACTCGTATATGCACCTTTGCGGTAAAAGCTTTAAGCTCCCTCTCAAATCCCGCTGGTTGTACGATTTTTTGTTAGTTTGTATGTAGTATTTATAGCTGCGAGCAAAATAATAGCAGTAAAATTCAAAATTATGCTGCTGGTAACTTATGTTTTTTTTATTTATTGTTAATAATTTTCATTTAAAATATAGGTCAATATGTATCAGAAACTGCATAAATAAGAGTTGCAAAGCTTGCACAAGGTGTACAAAAATTAATAAAACTTAAAAAAAAATTCGATTTTTAAATTAGATTTCTTAGAAAATTTTTAGTATGCAGTTTTGTAGCCCATTCAATTTTGGTATAGTAAAGTGCAAGCTTCAAGTCCCTAAAAATTACCGTTGATTTTTTAGATTTTATTTTTGTATGAACCAAATTTATTTTTATATGGAAGAAAATGCGCAAACCCGTACAAACAAATTCGAAAATTTGTAAAATCAAAATTTTGATATTCATCTTTCTAAGTTTAACCAATTTTTGTGAACTTTGTGCAAGATTTGAAATTTTTATTTATGTGGTTTCTGATACAGATCGACCCATATTTTAAATAAAAATTATTAAAAATAAATAAATAAACATTAGTTAGCAGCAGCATCATTTTGAATTTTACTGCTATTATTTTACTCGCAACTGTATATCTGTATGTATGTATGTGTGGACTTAAAAGAGCGTTTAAGATATACTTTGAGGCGTTCGAGGCTGCCTTGTATGCAGGGGTTGCGAGCATTTATGAATTAAACTAAAAAAGCTCATTGCTTAAACGCATACACCTACACGTTTATAACACATTTTTACGGCTTTATGTACACATACATATATACATTAGAACGTACCACCTTACAAGCAAACAGAAAACGTTCGCTCTACAGCCGTGAGTATAGAGTATTTTTGCAGGCCCCCCCCTCCCCCCCACCGCCGGCAATAATTTTTTTTTGTTATCAAAATAAATATTTAGCAGAAGTTTAATAATTCTTGGTAAGCTTTAATTCACTGACCTTAAGGTGGTTGAAACTAAGGTCTGGTGGGTAAGTACTAAAACGGGGTACTTGAGATCAATGAACTATGAAACCAAAAAATTGCCTACTCGAGACAAAAACATTGATATGTCATATACTTTAAGGACGACTGTAAATGCCGATATATATCGAAAAATGTATGCACATGGGGACCCATACGTTCGCGAAAAGATATTGATTTTTTTTTTTTGCCCCGCGAAAATACTCAGAGGCGAACTTTTTTTCCGGTACATTGTAATGTACATATATACATTTGTGCATCCACTTGTATGTTTGTATGTTAAGCTTAACGTTGTGTATGCGTGTAGTGTAGTTTAGACGGTAATAGTATATCCATCCAAATGAATAAACACTTGCCTACGCGAGTATTTGTGTGTGTTTGTATTGTTAACCCAATGGTGGCCTACTGAGATAAATATCGCTTAAGTGATTTCTCAGGGGGAAAAAACGATACCTTTTAAATGTAATGAATATTAAATATTACAATAACTAGTATTTATTCGTAAGATGCGCATATGCATGCAACATACGTATTGGAACCAAAAGGAAAATTTACCTATGCAGCAAGTCGTTTGACAAAGACTTTTATTTTCATTAGAAAACATTGCTTCCATATTTTAAGATATTTTCATGTATTACTGGCATATGTAGCTTGGTTATGTTGGGTTAGTTGGAGCTCAATACTTCTTGTGAATTTCAGCAGAAATTTCAGCTCTACTTTTGAGAGGCTCTCTATTCTTCTCGAATTGGCGGGCTCCCAAGCATTTTAGTCATATTTTTGACAGCGTACTATGACATCGGCAGAAAAGATGCTCCAAGGTTTCCCGGGCCTACCGCTCACGACACTTCCCGTATCTGTTCATGTTAGTGATACCCATCTGATGTGAATGAGTAGCACTAGGATAGTTATGCCCCACGTTTTCCATTTTCAGTCTTATAAATTGTTTATGCTAAAATTTCCAAATCAATAGTTATCGAAGCAAATTCTATGGAACTATGAAATTTTTTTTTCTATTTTATATTTCTTTATAGAAACGTGGTATATTAAAAAGTTTTTTCTTTGATTTTTTTTCCTTCACAGACTACAGTGCAGAGCGCTTTTTATTAATGTACAAACATAGATCGAATATCGTTGAAATAAGCACACGCCCTACGTATGTACGTAAACCGCTTTTGCTTATACGCGCGTCATATTTATTGAACAGGATATATATACATAGTACTATGTCTTAATTTATAATACTTGCCCTTCACTATATCATCACCTCATTCGTAAACTTCCTTTTCTCAGAAAATTTACTTTTTTCTTTATATAGCGATTTTCTGCTTCACTCTACATTTCATGAGGCATTGGCAAACGACAATTTCCAACTAATTTCACTTGTCCTAACCACTTATTCTCGCCTTAGGCTGCTAAGCAACCTCACCCATATATTTTTTTTTTTTTTGCTTTTGTTTTGCTAAATTTAGTTGATTAGAGGCGTAAGAATGTTTTTTTGCTTGTTTATGACGTCAAACGAAACACACTAAAAGGATTCTGTTGTTGTTGTTGTTGTTGTTGTTGTTGTTGTTGTTGTTAAGCGTTAACATGATGCATATGTTGTATATAAAGTAGTTAGTTGTTGAGCTGTCGCGGCTGTTGGGTCGACAAGCTGGAAATCGTTGTGTGTTTCCGACAGCAGCTTAAGACGTTGGTTTACTTGGTTTTTGATCCTTTGAACTTCAGAACTTCAGATTTTTAGCTTTATACTTTATTCGTACTGCATAGCAATTATTTTCCCTTGCATTCTCCTTTTACTCAGCAGTTTCGTAAGTATGCCAAAGCTTACGAAGCCAACTTTTTTTTTACTCATTTTCGTTCTTGGTGTTTCCGACAGGGTAGGAGTTTGATGATTGTGATACTATTTACCATCATCCCTTGTGATAGTTTTTATACTTTTTTTGCAAATAAATTCGCGTAAGCTGAAAATAATTATTTTTCAGAGTATTTTTTGCTCTATGTTCATTAGAGTGGTCCAAAATAATAAAGTCGGAATTTTAATGCCGCCACCCCCTAGGATTGTTCTGAACCGAAAATAAATAAACCCCTATTTTTTCATTTTGAAATCAAAAAATATTTAGGGAGTGCTCACAGCGCTCAAAGTTTTCCATGTATTTTATATGGGGAAAAAATAAATTTTAAAATTTTTCGTAAAACCGTGGGTCTCTTCAGGAGACTTCAAATATTAATATCCAATTGTTTATTTAACCATTTTTTATGATTAAAGATTTTTTATTGGTCCCCCCATTGCATTTTCTAGGACCTATAAAATATAGTTACCATGAAAAAATTGTTAAAGGAACAATTGGATATTATTACCGGCAGTCTCCTGAAGATAAGCAAACTTTTCCGATCGAAAAATATTGATTTTCAAGAATTCTACACTATTTCTACGAAAAGCTGTTTTTTCCCCATATAAAATACATTGAAAACTTTGAGCGCTTTGAGCACACCCTAATTTGTTCTTTTTTTCAAAATAAAAAAATAGGGGTATATTTTTTTTTTACATACATTTTTGGATCACTTTAATGTTCATACACCCGTACGTATGTATGTAGGTTAATTTTATATGTAAATAAAACTATTTTATAGAAGTTTTATGTAATCGCACGGGGAGAGTTACAAAAATTTCTGAGTCATATACCGGTACATTTTTAGACGTATTCTATATTTTACGGTATTTTTTATGAACTTTTTGGGACTTTTGGGAAGTTGTTTTTTTGTTAAGATTTTTAATTTTTAGCTTTTTAAACATTAAAAAATGACAGCGAGTTCATTGAGATTTTCTTGAGCTTCCCTTTGGACTTTTTGGGAACCTTTGGAACTTTTCGGGATTTTTATTAATGATGGTTCGAAGTTTGTGGATAACTTTCGGTTCGTATTATTTAGGAATTGTTGAAATATACTTAAATATGTAGTTCGTGTTATTTATTTGTCTTTGGAATTTCTAGAGATTTTTTGTTTAATTTTTCGGCCCCTTTGGGATTTTTTTATTCATCTGGACTTTTCGGGAATTCCAAGGATTTTTCATGTTTTGTTAGGGATTATTTTGGAATATTTTTTGATATATTTTTCTTACGATTTTTTTTTGGAATTTTTGGTATCTTTCGAAACTTTCTGGGATTTTCAGGATTGCTGGTGTTTAATTTGATATTTTTGGGAAAGTTTGTAGATAGCTTTTGGTTTGCTAACATGTTCGTGATTTATTTATTTTTAACTTATTGTGATTTATTCGAGCTTTTTTAAAACTTTCGGGAATTTTTCGGGACTTAACTGAACATTTCGGTAGTTTCAAGCGTTTTTCGTAGTTTATTAGAGATTGTTTTGGAATTTTTTCATTACGGTTTTTTTTTGGATGTTAATTTTTAGACACTGCTGGAGAAATGCAATAGTTTGTAATTTTTCGGAGTTATACTGAAAGTGCCACATTTTATCGAGATTTTCTTGCGACTCTTTTGGGTGTTGATGTGATATGTTTCAGAATTTCAGGCGATTTTTTTCTTCTAATTTTAGTTTTAAATTTTTGAGATATTTGGTATTGTTCAGGTCTTAAGGAGATTTTTTGTGAGCTGTCTGGAATTTTTCATGACTGTTCGTAGTTTATTGAAAAAGTTTTTTTTTGGTTATTTTTATTTTTTTATTTTTATTATTTAGGCATATATATATTAAAAGAAATAAACACTCTCTGCTTTTTGTAGGTTTTTCGCAACTTAG